GGCTTACTGCTGGTTCCACAGGTGCTGGACTGAAAGGGTTTGGTGGAGACGGGGCTTAAGTTGACATTTTAGTAAAGTATCTTCTTAATGTGTTGTTGGGTCCTGTATGGCTGTAAAACATTGAACTCTGATGCAGTTGAGAGGTTTGCATTGTTTGCAGAGTGAATGTTCAACAGTCTGTGCCATATTTCATGCATCAGTTCAGCAAAAAGGGAAAATTCAAACAAAAGTTGTCGGTTTAACTATTTTTCTCTTTGTCCTTCTGTTTATTCATTAACCAAAGACATGGCTCGGCTGATGGGATGAAAATGTGAGTTATGAGTCACACTCACACTGGTAAAGAAGAAAAGTATTTTGTTGAAGAGCTCTTAGTGTTGCAGAGAAATGAAAAGCCGACAGCAGCTAATCCTCTCTGCTCGCTGAGAGCCGCTCTGAGAGCCAGCGCTCCCTGAACATTTAGAGATGTTGACCCGCTGACCTCAGAGTGGTTCTCCTCAGCGGGAAGGTTTTCGAAGACTGGCAATTTGAGCCCAGCATGCAGAGCGACGTCCCTGAGGGGGAAATTACACCTCCACCTGGATGTTTTCCACCGCTGACGGAGCACAAGTGCGCCGCGTTCGCTTATCAACCCCCCTGGGATAAATCCATTTCCTGGACACAGAAGAGGAGATGGGGAGGCACGAACAGAAATTCAACTGAAACCTGACAGGCGGCTTTTCACAGTGCATATCCAGCTCCTTTTCAGGTTGTCGCCCCTCATTTCATGAGCAGGATACATTTGTATGAGGGAATCCATTACTGTAGCCGTCAACTGAAAGAAGGATGGTGAAAGGAGAGAGCGGCTGTGAAATTCAGCCAAAACGGCCTCAGAACAGGGGTGATTCTACATTCAGGGGAAGAAAGCATATAATGGAGGTGTTTGTCAGCTCTGAAAAGGTGGATGAGACTAATTTAAAACTACAAATCAGATTTTGGGAAGAGAAAATCACAACCTGAGATTCACCCTCTAGTACGTCTTCAATACCAAGAATTAAGTCTGAGAAGAGATGACATTATTTCGTCCACCAAGAGCACTGAGTCCCTAAACTACTTAAAGTTCATCCCTTTTGACACCAACAGAGTTGTTGTTAGAGGTTGCCTCATGGAAATAAACTTTACTAACAAGTGCTGGACTTTCTGTCATTTGTAAGTGCAATTGCAACGTTACGTCAGTGTGGTAGCACTGTATCGTAATCAGCACAGTGCACCTGGGAAAGGCGCCGCCAAAAGTACCAGAGAGGAAGACAAGAGTCATTTGGTCTTAGCATTGTAAATGACATGGTGACATGCAGCAAATGGTTGCAAGCTGGAGTCGAATCTGTGACTGCTGCGGCGAGGCATCGACTATCCACTGCGCTACAGACGCCCCTAAGTAAAACATTTTTTAAACACAAATGATGCCTCTTTCCAACTGTAGTAAAGTCAACAATGAGCTACGACCTAATTTTCGTCAAAACCAGCCGACCGCAGAGATCAACAAATAACAATGCGTGCAGGCGGCCCTGACACGACCGTGCAGTGAGTGCAACACTGAACAGAGATAACCTGCTACAAAAATACTTATTAACTTCACTGTTATCCAGTGTAGTGTCCTCAAAATCACTTCACACATCAGTGGTTTCTTGTTGGTTATACTGCTGCGTTTAAGTTTGGAAAATATGCTTTTTCATGATTTTGGGGGGAATTTCTTTTGGGAAGAATGTTCAATAAATTCTCTCTTATACAGTGAAGTGTCACCTAAATCACCGCACACAGATAGAACTCATAAGATACAAATACAAAAGTGTTGGGCTGGCTGAAGCCACGGTTCAGATTCAGGTGTGTGCACATGATCAGGATGGTACCGCCTCCGCCTCATGTTGAGAAAGGAAAAACCCTGTATTTTGTTAAATCAGATCTACAAAGAGGTCTGACTCTGCCTGACACGCTTTCCCCAAATCTGTGAAGATAAATGTGTGTTTTTAGCATGAATGCGTCCTCAGCTGCTGCTGCTGTCACCTGCACCACATTTCACTCTGACACCAGCCTTCAGCAGGAGTTTCCTTATCTGTAATAAACTGTTTCACATTTTCAGCCTGTTAGATGGAGGTTGAGTCATTTCGAATGCGAGCGGTCTCAACCTGCTGCTTTTCATAAATTCACCCGTCTCCTCCTCTCCTATGGTTAAAGGCGAAACCACAGCGGCTCCATTTAGACACAGAAAAGGCGAGGAAGCCCACACAAAAAGCTGTCAGCAGGAGATAAGTCTCTGCTCACTTTGTGTAGCTGGAAATTGGCACTTTGACTCCCAGAATGCATTTGTTGCTGGCAGTGTTGCAACAAGCGGAAGAATAATGGTTTAATTTTCCCCCGACGCCGCCGTCTGCTCGACGCCTCATACATATGCAGCTTATGAGCCGCAGCTTCTGGTGACTCCGTTGCTCATGAAAAGTTAAAATTCTCCTACAACACAATATGTCAGCTGTGGTTCACTGCGCAGAAATTACCAGGACAGATGACATTTGTGGGAATGATTTTTTCTTCTCTGGCATGACTGCTCTGCTCTGCTGAGAAATGCTCCTCTGAAAAATATTGTTATTGTTGGAAAATGTTTATTTCACCAAACTATAAACTTGAATCCAGTGGGTAGATGAAGAGGTGGAGAGGTAGGTGAGCAGGTAGATGGATGATGGATAGTACGGCTACAACCTGCAGTTATTTACATCCTTTGACTTTTGTGCTTGTCTCGTTTGTTAGTGCTGGTGAGTTTGGTGCTCCGCTCCACCAACATTAGCTATTATTAGCTATGTTTCTTATGTGGTACAAAGTCGGCACAAAATATCATTACATAAAGCTATAATACGCCCAAACACGTGCCTCTTTTTAATAGAGGAATAGATGGTAACTCTTGAATGTGTGCATGCTGTACATCGTCCAGCTGCTACACTGTGCTCTTGCAGTTGCGTTCTTCCAAAGATACTCTATAACAGAAGATATCCCACTACAAGCTGCGCCAGTGGAACCAAATGGTGTACACTTCCAGTCTCCTAAGTGGGCGTGGTCGTCTCTCCACTGCATCCTCCACTTCATTTGGGAGTGTAGTAAACGTAGTGAGGATGGATGAAATCAGACTGAAAACAATGCAACACTATCTAAAGCGTTGTATAATGTACTATATAAAGTACTAGGGATGCAGGATAATATTGGCATGTCATCAGAATCGGCCAATATGGACTTTAATATGAACAATTGGAATCGGCCAACATGCTTCTTATTTTGCACAACCAATGAATATTGCATACATTGAAAAGTATTGTATTTCATGTCTCCATCTGCTGGTGGGCCATCATGATAAGAGTATACATGTATAATATGTTTATTCCACCAAAGAAGAAACTTGATGATCACTTATATTAGGTGGGGGAAAAATGTGGATATATTGATATCAGTATCGGTCAAATGAGTTGTAACATATTGGCATATCAGATATTGGCCAAAAAAAATCCAATATCTTGCATCCCTGATGGTAACTATAGGAACTATAGGAACACTTGTTTTTAACTTCTTTAATAGGATCTTCAATAGTGATATTGTTCATTTAATCTAAACAGTTCTTGCACTTTTACTCCAAATTTTCACTTTTGAAATCTTATGAAGGAGTTTTTAATTTACTTTGAAATTCTTTTACTACTTTTGAACTCGTGCTGAAATCTACTCACTTGAAGTTTTTCAAAATTCTCTTCCCTTTAACCTTACCCCTTGGTTTCAAGTGCACTCACCAGATAGATTCCCCTCAACGACAAAGGGGTAGTGTTGAGAGGTAGGGAATTTTACCTACAAATTGGGACGCCACTTCATGCAAATTAGTGTAACAGACATGTTCACTTACGTCATGCGTATCGTCGACGTAGGCTTCAGCATTAAAGGCTTCACAGAGAACTCGATATTCATGTCGGCTACATCGTGAATTAACGATTTTCAAGCATTCATATTCAAACTCAACGCTCACACATAACAATGCATATACAGAAACAACACATGCCGACATATTTTGGAATTTCTGCATGCTTATTTGCGAAAATAGTACGCACAATTGTGCGATGGCTTTCTCATGGAAGCTGCCATCTTCCTGGAAAACTCGCCTGGCTGGATAGTTTCACAATGCATCCTGGGAAATTCAATCTTCCCCTCAGTTGAGATGGGTTCGTAAGTGTGCATCACACGGCCCTTCAAGTTAAGTGGGGATTTTAAGGGCTGAAAAGCACTTCACTAAAGTTTGGGAATTAATTGCTTCAGACTACAATTAACTTTAATGCTGAATTACAATGCAATGCCAAAAAGACCTCTTATATCAGCATCAGCATCGGCAGATTTCCAAACTCAGGTTTTGGAATTGCAGCTGAAAAAACGTGGTTAATCTCTAATGCCAATAAAAGTGACAGAGAAAAGAATTAAAACACTCCACTAAATTTAACACCAGTGTCTACCTGGAAATGAAAACAGTTCAGTTCAGAATGAGTGTAAAACTGACCTCATGTCTTTGAAAGGTTGGCCATGGATTCCAATGAAGGCAATTTGTGCTTAATGAGCTCAGTATCTGATATGGTCCTGTTAAAGAATTTTCATCAGTCTCAAATCATGTCTGAACATTTTTTCCAGCCACACCGAGACACATTCGTCTTCCTGTGTTGTTTTTGGAGAAGTCGGTTTCCTAATGAAAGACATTTGTTAGATAATGAGACTCTTCTCTTCTCTGTAATGACTGTGTCAGACTCTGTCACACTTTAACAATGACTCTAATCTTGTACTTTTGTTCTGTTTCTCATCCATCTTGACTCCCCATCATCTTCTGCTCTTCCTCTCCATCTGTTCCTAATTGATTACACTCTCGTCTGCCAACATCTCTCCTCCCATTCCTCCTCCAAAACTCTTTCTCTCTGTACTTTACTTTTCTCCTCCATCTTCTCTCATGTCTTTCTCAGGTGAACAAGCAGCAGCTGCAGGCGGTGAAGGAGCGTTTCCTGGCCTTCCTCAACGGGGAAACTCAGATTGTGGCGGATGAAGCTTTCTGTAACGCTGTGAGGAGCTACTATGAGGCAAGACGACTGTACCTTTACTCTGCTCTCCTCTTTTTTGCTTTTTAATTCTGATGGTGATCCAGGTGTCCTTCAGAGACAACTGGAGGCACAGTTTGGAGAGTTGGGACTCTCCTTTGGTTACAGATGTGCCGTGACAAAACTGTCATGCTATGATTATTGTGGTCCAATATGCAAACAGTTTTAGCCTCCGAGCCTGAAGTGAATTTTTGCTACGGGCAGAGCTGGCCTGTGAGGAAGAACGTAATATGTTTAAATCTTGAGGGAGCCAGTTTCCTCTTATCAGCTCATACAATGTGTGCCCTGTTTTTTTTTTGCTTAAAGCAACAAATTGACACTGTGGTTGCTCCGGCAGGGCAACCAGCCAATGTTAGCATAGCAAGCTATGGCCACAGTAGCTACAGCTAGCCGGACGTGGAGCCTGGTTTGTTGGCCCTGCTGTGGTGTTTGTATCTCTGTCTGACTGATACACAGCTGCACCTTCATGTGCACTACTCATAAAGGCAAAGGTGCTGCACAGTGTTGACTTTGGCAGCTGAGGAAGAAAGTAATCACAGTTATTACTGGAGCTGATGCGAATACTTCGAAGCTTTGATTGCCATGATAATCGATGTCCAAATCAGTTTTCGAAAGCTCTGTTTTTTCTTTACCATCACCCTAAAAATCCCCAGATAACCCATAAATCAAGAAATGGTAATCCAACATTATTCATTTTGCATCAACATCAGTTCTAAGTTATTCTCAGACAAGGACATTAGAACTTAACGATAGGCCTCGTTTTGCATCTCCGACAATGTGACCACCTCTGACAGGCTTACAGATACGCTAGCAAGATGTCGATAAAGTCTAGTAGGGGCTCCAGAGTTTACAAAGATGACCCCCAAAGAGCCGAGTGTCGAATTTGCCAAACTAAACTGTTATATCACAAATCTGCATCCACCTGGCAGATCACCAGAAAACTGTACGTAACAGCTTAGCGGTCTTGCAAAGTATTTTTTTTTCTGGCTATTATAGTTTGTGTTTCTGCAACCTGCATGCTAATGTGGCTTAAGTACTATTCGGACGGGATTAGTTTTACATAGGGATGTGGACTAATTTCAGTTTACCACAGGATGTCTGCAATATAAATGTCCAATTTGCACGGGACAAGAAATCTCTGTAATTCTACCAGAGATGGGAGTGGCCTGTCGGCATGTGCGTGCTACGTTGCTTCCTGTATGTGTGATAATAATTAATGATTAGCTCAATATGAAATATTGCCCATGATCAGGATTGTGTGTACACAACGCTTAGCAGTATGGATTTATATTAGGCCTACCTAACACAACCAGAAGTCTCCGAAAAGTGCTTTCTTCTCGACCTTTTTGATTGGTCGCCCACGTAGGGCTTTGCGATCATTAGAAGAATGTCCACTATCACGACTGCTGACACCGAATGCTTCTTCAAGCGCCTCCATCATCAAAAAAACGCGGAAAACTAGTTGTTAACACGGGATTAATATTACCCGAGGTATTTTCTCTGGACCTTTTTACAGAAGGTAAAAGTCGCCGTAATTTTTACTGACGTTCCCCGTAATGATTACAGACATGGTGCGTTCGGACGGGACTAAAATCCCTGGTAATTATTACTTTACCCCACGTCTCCATGTTAAACTAATCCCGTTCGAACAGGGCTTTATTGTCAAGTTATTTTAGATGCATGAACTGCAACATGATGTTTCAAAAAATGTCCTTTGGTCTCTCATCCCTCCTCCAACTATCAATTCATTTTCAATATTTCTCAGTTAAGCTTAGATGCTACAGAAGTGGTCGGGACAGCTATACAGCAATACAAACCATGACGACAATTGGCAGTGTCGTTACCATCTGCATGTATATCTTCAAATAAGTATATCACTCATGTTTCCCTCTCATCAATGCTATCTGGGGATCTTTAGGAACTTCACAATTGTGTCACAATTCGATTTGAAACAAACTTATCTTTGGAAAAGGATCCCTTAAATTAAGTTATTAAATAATTCATACCAAGATACATTCTCAGTGGGACATTTTAAATTCTAAAACAACACCAACTTACTAACAGAAAATAGAACAGCAAATTTAAAACAGTAAGCTTCACCAGAATTTAATTAGTATCCGTAAATATTAGAAACACACACAGACAAAGCATATTAGAACAAATGTATTAATGAAAGAAGAAAAATAAAATTAAAACACAGCTTATGAAATAAACAGAAATCTGAACTATAATAAATATTGAATACATTTTTTTATTAATTACATGGAACTGCAAAATAGTCGTCACATTGTAATTAAACTTTTTATATATCTTCTTGTAATTTTTCTTTTCAGTAACAAACTTTTTCCAGTTAACATTAAATGGACTAAACTTCAGTCAGAAGTTGAAAACATCTTTGGCATTTATGCACCGAGCGACTTACACACACACACACACACACACACACACACAGATGCAGATAAATCTGTGATCAGCTAAAATCAGTCAGTCACTGATCCAGCATGTCTCTGTCGGACTTCATGTAGCAAGTTCATTGTTGGTGTCTGGGTCTCTCAAAACTGTGAGAATAAGACCCAGGTATTAGAAATGATTAGAAAACTACTAGAAATACTCCTTTGACTTCAGAGCTGTTGTTTGGAGGTTCTTTTCTCCTTCCTGTGGTTTCAAACTGTCCCGCATTCAGCGCTGGTTGTTGGACCATCGTACCTCCGTCCACCTCCACAGCACTGATGACAGAGTGGTTGTTGAGCTCTTATGGCACAGAGTAATGAAATTTATCACCAGAGTCAGGCTGAAACCGATTAAAAAAATCGACCTCACCAGCTGTTTTTATTGTGAGGTGGTTTTTCTGTCTTCAGGAGCACAGTGCCACAAATCTCTCTCCTCCAAAGGAGAGCTTTTTAATTTCCATCACCTTTGCTCCCTGTAACCACCCACATCTCCAAACAGCTTCTCTCGGTTATCACTGAAAATACTTTTTCATGCACACTCATCTGCTAAAGGCCTTTGCACACTGAGTCAGTTCTTTTAATCCGTCATCTGAAGAAACGTATCTGCTGCGTTTTATTGTTCTATTCATTGTGAAAAATCACAACACATGACAATATGAAAAGACACATTTCCTCCTTCGCCTCCCTCCACTGGAGTTAGCTATCTGACTGTTATCACTCTCTCCCTGTCTGTCGTTTAGCACCACAGCTGAATGAAGGGGTGGAGCTGTCCTCCTCATTCTGTGTGCAGTCCACATCCTCCTCCTCTTCATCATCATCCACCTGAATATTACTATCAGACCTGTTGAACCTGAGCTATTAAATGATTCTGTGCGTCCTGTTCCTCTGTCTTGTCCACATTGTCCTCACTGATTCTTGGTCAAACGTCTCTAAAGGCTCTAACGGATGCGAAAAACGCAGAAAATCCAACCTGTTCGAAATTTTAATGGTGGACAAAAGTTTTGGACTCAGTGTGCAAACGTAATTGACACAATGTGAAGTATTCATATTTAGACGTGCAACAATATTGGACCAAATATACAGACTCATTGTGCAAAGGCCTTAATGCTGTCGCAGTGAAGGAATTTCCCCTGCGTTGATTAAGGGTGGCTGAAAAGCTGATATGCAGTATTACCACCATTTTTTGTTGTTTTTGCAAATGACTTCATTCATCCTGATTTTAAGCGCTTTATAAATAAGCCTTACTGTTGGGCTATAGATCGAATCAAATTGGTAATAACGTCTGGGTACAAAAACCCCTGTCACAAACTTTAAATGAAACGGTGAGCAGATGCTGCCTCAGTTGTTTAATTTTTAGCCACCACGTAAAAAAGGACCCACCTAAAAGAATCAGTGTCAGTTTATGGATGTGCTATACGTAGAATATTTTCATGGCTTTTCCTTGCTGTCAGACAGCCCCGGCTGCAAACTGAAGCAGTTATCGGTTATTGTACCATGAAAATCTCATACCGTTGAAACCCTCCTTGAAATGTTCCAGTTGCTGCTAAAATTTAGAAATAAACAAGTTGACCTATTTCACATACAATCACTATTTTGCATTTAATCCAAAACAATTGCCAGTTGTCTACCTGGAAGTGTACACGTTGATTTTATTTTATTTTTCGGCATTTTGCTGCTTTTTAAATGACAAAGATGACACAGTTTTAAAACTAGTGCTGTAGTCAACCAAAGAAAATCTTGGTCGACTAAAGTCGCACATAATCTTCAACTGATCGATTAGTCGTGGGGTAAAAAAAAATCTGCACATTATTTTTACTTCTGCGGTGGTGTGTCTGTGTCACTCTGCAGTTACACCTGTGTTAAGTGCTGTAAAGTTTAGTTCAAATCAAACTTTATTTATATAGTTGATTCAAAACACACGTTAAACACACATTAAACATGGCTTAATAGAGACAGTTTCAAACACAAATCAGCTTCACTATACATCGCAGAACTGACAAACAAACACTTGTCTTTATCTGGACACATTTCCCCCACAAATACAACATGCTAACGTTATTAGCGCCAGCCTATGGCATTTTACATTGTATAAATTAGCCTAGCAACTAGTGATCTTTTCCTTTTCTCATATGAAACCAGGGACAACAGCAACATGTAACAAAGGTAACGGCACATAATTTGGCTCCATTACAACTAGGGCTGACCCAAAAAAATTTGAAGCTTTGTTTGATGGCACGGGATTCCTAGGATTGCAAGAAACTACCTTTTCGCCATAATTTGGAAGTTATTAACTTTTTTGGACTTTTTTTTTTCTTCTTGCTCCAGTGTTTAACCCAGAGTTGAGTATTTTTGAACCAGGCCCCCAGGGATTGTGCTCAGCCTTGCTTCCAAGGCCACACATGGTATTGCAGCAAATAAAATTCCCTGTGGCCCAAGAAGCATTTTCTCCCTCGACCACCATCATTAAAGAGACTTCTGTAAAACTGTTGACAGGACACCTTGAACTGCAAACAAGGTCAATTATGACTTTCT